TTTTTGCAAGCAAGTGACTCATTTTTTTTACAAACAGGAAATTGTTTGCGTGGTTAAACCGATAACAAACTGCGTACGAATTTTGGGGTAGTCTGAGATAAATGCTGAGATTTTTACCTCTTAATTATGACAGCCAACAAATACTTACTATACGGCAACAAAAAGCTTGGCGCCGCATTTGTCACAATCAATAATAATTGTAGGGCTTATATTTACTTAGTGGGGTGTGCGATAGACTTACCTCCACGTGGTACACCCTGGGCAACGTATATCCATACGGCAAAAAAGTCTATTAACCGGCAGTTGACTTCTGGCTTCAAACTACCATCACCTCACTCTATGCCATATTCGACTATTTCCACAGTACTCTTCTTACCTTTTTTCTACCTTTGTGTTTGTCTCTTTTACTTCTTTGAAACGTTGTTCTGTTCCTCCCCCCCCCCTCTCAACTTTTTTAAATTTGATGTTCCTTCTCCTCTGTAAAGTCTGAAGTCAACTAAAGGGCCTATGATAACTATCAAAACGCCTGCCATTTGATATAAATAAATAAATATTTACTTAGAAAAATTTAACCCAAATCTAATTTATTATAAAACAGGGGGGAATTAAATTAGCAAGGGTTTAATTTTACTGATTAGCTCCAAATGGATGAATTGAAATTTGAAATTTGAGTTTCATCTCACCGCCCAAATTCCATTTTAAATGAATTGACATTCAATGCCAAAAAAGGTGAATGCAAATAGTAGGTGAGGCATCGAATCACCATGTTGGTATTAAGGAAGACACGAAAAAACGAAAGATGAAAAGCCTATTCGGATGTTTCACAAACCTCTTTACTCGATCTCATTAAAACTGAGCCAATCCTGCTAATAATGAGAGATCAAAAGAATTGAAACTTAAAACTGACCTTATATTTATAATAATTTTAAATAGATATGAATGATTATACTTGCGAATAATTTAATAATGTAATGCAAATTTTCTTTATTTACCCTTACGTATTGATCAATATTTTAAAGCATTTAAGGAAATTGTATTTCTCTTTTAAATTCTAAGCCTAGATTTGATGCTGAATAGTAACCCACGACCAAACAACTTAATAACTCTAACTTAGTAGAACAGGGGTGCGCGATAGACTCACCTCTACGTGGTGCACCCTGGGCAACGTATACTCATACGGCAAAAAAGTCTATAAATCGGTAGTTGACTTCTGACTTCAAACTACCATCACCCTACTGTATGCCATATTCGACTACTTCCACAGCATTCACCTCACCTTTTTCTCTGCCTTTGTGTCTGTCTCTTTTACATCTTTGAATCTCTTTTCTGCTCCCCCACTCGAATTTTTCTCACTTTGATGTTCCTTTCCCTCTGTGAAGCCCGAAGTCAACTAAAGGGCTAATGATAACCATCAAAACGCTTGCCATTTGATATAAATACCTTAGTAGAAAGTGGGGGTGTTCGAAAGACTTACCTACACGCGGTACACCCTGGGCAACGTATACTCATACGGCAAAAATGTCCATTAACTGGCAATTGACCTCTGACTTCAAACTACCATCACCCCACTGGATGCCATATTCGACCGCTTCCACAGTACCCATCTTACCCTATTCTCTGCCTTTGTGTCTATCTCTCTCTTTTACATCTGTGAATCACTCTTCTGTTCTCTACCCCTCGACTTTCTGCTACTTTGATGAACCTTCCCTCTGTGAAGCCCGAAGTCAATTAAAGGGCTAATGATAGCTATCAAAACGCCTGCCATTTGAAATAAATAAATTATTCCCAAACAGTTCCGTGATTATTGAGATTGCTTTTAATACGCCAAATCTTGTCTATAGACATCTAAAGCCAATTTGCCAGCAACACATCCCTTCAACTATCTCAGCCGTCAACTGACAATAACTATGGCTTCTCCGAAGTCTATTGATGTCGATTTGCACTTACCACCGCACATCCACTAAGCCCAGTCTTCCCCATTCACCCACCACCCCCCCCCCCCCCCCCCCACCTCGCGTCGATTTCCGCAATAAGACCTTCAAAGAGCAGTTCACCAAATGCACTCATCGCCTTGATTCATTTAGTTACCACCTTTGGCAACTCCTCTGCACTTCCTATTACAATTTGCAGCTTTGTTCTCGAGGTGACGAGTATCTATTACATTGCACTTTTCATAAAATAGCAAACTGATCTCATTCACTTTCAACTGCCGAAATACCTGAAACTCTAATTCATATCAATTTACTTCTCAGCAGCATTAAAGTGGACAGATGCTGAATGGAATTCAATAAAAATTGGCTGTTTTTTGCAATTTTTGTTCCCAACAGAGAGTGAGAGAGATCATAAAATTGGGAGAGATATGTGCGATAGATAGCCAAGATTTACGGAAATAATAAAACCCAGCATAATAGTGTAGTTAAAGTAATCATAAATTATTCAAATACTCTAATTAGACACTTCTAGTAAAAATATGAGTAAAATGAGGTAGTGAATGTGGAAGATTTCCATCTTGAAAGCAATCACCTCCCACTGGGCTAATTTTCAATTGCTGACATCGTTCTTATCGCTATCAAGCTTTTCACAAACACCTTTGTTTTCAAAGCGCATCTGATAACTGGGATATGTGTCCCTTTCAGAGTCAGAGAGTTAGGTCATTGCAACTTACGATCTACTCAATACGAGAATTAAAATGGAAACGTGTGTGTTTGAATATATGGCCCACAGGTGCAAAGGTCAAAAGAAACCGAAGCGTTTAACTTTCTTTCTACACTTGTAGATTGGCTTTGAAGGAGAGGAGTTCTGTGTCTCCAATTGACCTCTCTCTTAAGGTAACATAGCAACGAATGGATGAAGATGTTATTTTCTCCTAGTGTTCTAATATATTGTAATGCCACTTTAATGAAGTTAAAGAAGGTTGAATTCCACTGAGTCTCAAATAATATAATCAAATAGGAGGAAGATCCAGAATTTGCGAACACTCAGTTAACTTATGGTCACTAGAGCAACGAACGTTAACTTAGACAAAATGCAAATAGGCGGTTAATCTGAGATCAAAATGAAATAAAATTCTAGCAATATACATGGGGCTATGTGCCACTTCACAAAGTCGACTCTTCAGTATTTATTGGGCAATGTAACTGCCTAAATTACACTCCAAAAGCGAAAGTGGGTTGCAACATAATCATTCATGCAATTTAATGTTGGTAAAGAGGAGGTCAAATTGGGGGAAGAGAACACGTTGCTCCCACTTTCTGACCCATTTGTGAAAGAGCTTTCGACAATTGACTACTATGCATCTGGAAATTCTTCTCCAGTTTTGAATCATTTCTCACCGACAATCGATCTCTTCTCCACAAGCTTCTTACATCCAACATGAAAACTATTTACGCAAATAGAAAGCACCAGCATTCGTAAAGACCTCAGCTCAACTTCAATGTGCCTATTGCATTTTAAAATTAAGATCATATTTGGGGCAAAAAAAATTAAAGATCTTATTCAAGCACTTACGTTCGTCAAAGCAGGTGAGGTGAAATCCTCCACCGTAGAACTCCAGTCCAACAATAGCCAATACAACAATGCCAAAAAGGACAAGCAAACCAATTTGCAGTAGCGGCGCCATCGCCTTTATCAGCGACATCAGAACGACCTGCAGACCTAAAATTAACCGAAACTTTAACTCCAACAACTTCAAACAATTATGACCCAATGGCCTCAAATTGATTAAAAGAGCCTTAACATGCTACAGTTTGCTAAATATATTACAAATACAAAAGGTGTCAACTTGAGCTACGAAGGCCCCAAATATTACCACTGAAATCGCTTAAAAATTCGCTGAGATTCGAGTCAAGGTTTCGGTGAGTTTTGGTCAATTTGGTACCTGGGTCGAGGATGGCACGATATTTGCTAACTAACCATCAGGTACCACCACCCCTCCCCCTCGCAATCCCATTCTGTGATTTTAATCTTGGATTGCAGCAAATGCACGTCAAGATGTTCAACATTTATCCCCTCCCCCCGGGTTGGAATTAATTAACCCAAACGGTCAGTTTTGCCACCTCAATTTATTTTGGACAATTTGGAAGGAGTAAAGTGCTCCATTGTATTAAGCAGCGAAGATTCGCACCATGTCGGATGACGAGGATCCGAAATAGCCATCAGCCCACTTAAACACCTAAACAACAAAGAATCATATTAAGTAGTTGTCAGCACGTCACTTAACATCGTTTTCATGTATGCCTTGCAATCTAGATGACGCATCAGAACTTTGTAGTTTCAGAAAGCGAGCTACCCGACTTAAAAAAATCAAACAAAGCAAAAATTGGCAAAAGTTTGGAGGTGCTCTCGTTATCTAAGGTCAGATTCACTGCTTTTTAATGAGAGTCGCTTTTAAACCCGAAAATAACTCAGTTCTCAAAATTATGCCTTCCAACTATTCTTAGTCTGAAAGTTCTCCTGAACAAAGTGCACGTATTGCAATTCCGGAGACATGCCCCAATTAATGTCCGTTATCTCACTCGATGCATAACTTGAAGACCTGTAGAAGTACTGTGAGTTAAATTTAGTTAAGCAATCTGCCTTGAAGCTTACAGCGATATAAAGGCAATAAAGAAGGAAGTAACAAAAGTTAGATACTTTCATTAAATAATGGTGAGACCTTCTAACTAAAAGTTATTTTAAAATAAAAGAGACAGTGTGGATTGATGGGGGGGGGGCAATGTGTGTGTGTGTGTGTGTGTGGGTGGGTGTGTGACTTACTGGGTATTCCAGAAACCAGTTTGAGTGGACGTAGGACACGAACAGCCCGGAGTGTCCTCAAATCAATTCCAGTTTCGGTTTGCGCAAAAACCGTTATATAACTAAAGTAGAACAATAACCAAGTCTTTGAATTAGGTCACTACATCCTCTCTCGCCTTACGCCCCTGACAAAATAATCACACACACTAACTTTTGTCTTTCTCGCTATTTTGGGCTTATCTAATTTTGTGTTGCTAGCGCTTTTATTTCATTTGGAGTAAAAAGGTTGCTAAGTGGAAATAAATTTAATTGAGAGATGAAATGTCCAAGCATTAAAGGATTCTCCATGGACTTGAGAGCACCATCGTGGAACCTCCAGGTGAGAGATTTGAATGTTGTCACCCGATTTAGAAGCCAGACAAAAAAAGGTTGTGACGTTGGGGCATTTCACTCATTGAATATGGGAGAAAGGAAACGAGCTCAGGACCTCTAATTGGGCAGATGAATGTGGTGATTAACGCATTGCCGAATGCATTCATGACATTCAGGAATGTGCTCTCTTTTGAGCTCATTCATTTAAAGTTGGACAATTTCATTTTTGTTGAAATTGTAACGCCTAAAAATACTAATGAATTATTTTCTCCACTCAATTATCTGTTGCATTTTAACCCAATTTATAAACTTTCTAGAAAATGAATTCGAAATTAATTCACGTCGAGGATTAGTAGAGCAACATCAAGTGATTAATATGACCCCCTAATACCCCAATGGCCTATGATCTCGGGCCGCCAGGTCACTGATCAAGAGGTCAGTGGTCATGAAAGAACCCCGCTCTCGGGCTAACAATGTATTACTTCAACGATCCAAGAAAACTATCCACCGTTTGAAAAACAAAGTATTGTCTCATTTCATTGTTTCTCATCCAACATAACTCAAACAGTTAATTTTCACATTTAACGACTTGCAGACTTTTGACTCCAAAGTTGTTTTTTTCATTCGTCATTTCTGTATTTGCGCTGAAGCCTCAAATATGTCCACATCCTGTCATTTATCCACTTACTGAGGAGATACAAATGTCGCGCTTGTGCGCTTGATAAGTATAGATTTACAAATTAGCGGATGAGGAGAATCTATAATTAGAACCTAAACTGTCAATAATTTATGCCACCACCTCATTTAAACAAATCTACTAGCGTTACAATCTGTTCTAAAATATTTAACATTTTTAAAATTAAATAATATCCAAGAAATCGTTGGTTTTTTGACAATTGGACTTCTACTTAAAATCGGGTTTGTTTTAATCAACTCATTCAGCCTATTCGTCCTAAAGTAAATATACCAGACTCAACATATGCATATGTCAAAGTACAGGTTTTCGAAATTCTTTTGCAGTAATAAAATCTTCTTTTTACAATGAAGATGAGAGTGAGGTGACTGCCAATTGAACGCCCAACCTCAGATAGTTTGGCGGTAGATTTGGAAGTGAGTGTGTGCCAATGAGACAGGAGAAGAGCTATCAAAATCCGTGTAACTGTCTTCCAATTGTCTTGGAAATTAGTCCCCAATGAAAATGAATTCTCCACATATCCTGGAGATTGAACGATCAAAACACGCCAGAGATATTCTTGCTTTTTAAGACAGAAGACTTCTACAGCCCCACACAATTTACAACTGTATTATTTATAGCTATAAATCTTTATGTCCCGAATTACATATTAATGAGAAAAAAATAAATTCAAGTAAATATTCGATGATATTTGAAATGCGCGAGACTTTTCAACAGAAAAAACCTTAGCTTAGATAGAAAGGTTTGCTAAAATGCAGCAAGTTACCCGGTTATAACGACGGTGAAGTCGAGGAGGTTCCAGACATTTCGAAGATAGGCACCGGGTTGAAGTAGAAATCCAAGGGCTACAATCTTCAGAATTGCCTCACACGTAAAGATGCCTAAGAAGTAGTTTTCCAAAAATTCCTACCAAAGAAATTGCAAAATTAAAATTGAAATTTTAAGAATAAATTTTTTATTTTATAAAGTTTGTTCTTGAAAAGCGAATCTAGGAAGAGTCGGCGACTGCTGTACCAGATCTTGCGTCAACTCTCAATGTTACGTCATCAATGAAATTCTTGTCCTTGAAAATTTTAATTAAGAGACTATTCATGGTCAACCGAAGCCTGTCATAACGTCAGGCTCAGTTATTGAACAATAATATTGAAATTTTGTCATGAAAAACTTCTGAAATGAAATGTCATCGGGAGACAGATGGGGTTTGATGAAGCAGGGAATTTGAAGAAAGGGCATTAAATTCATGTGCCAATCAATAGTGATGGTCTCTTATGCTAAAACTTCTAATCTGCTTTTGGTGGAAAAAATTGATTTCACGAAAAATGCATCTTTTTCTCCTTCGCCAAAGCAACTGAAATGTAGTCACAGATAATTTGCTCGACTATTAAGTAATGGCCGTTGAGGCGTTGTTGAAGGTGACATCAAGGTTTCAGAGAGCCTAAATTCAACGATTAGCTCACGTTCTGGTTGCCGAATTCATAATTAGTAAAGTAAATTACGGAGCAAATTCTTGCCTCTGGTATCCGGTGCTTATTGGTCGATTTTTTCCCGACGAGGGTCGGTTATGTTGTTCAAACTCTCGGATACTTCAGACACTCAAACAAATTCATATTAATTTTGCATGAACATGATTAGCGTTTTTAAATTTATAAATATATTTTTTTAAACTCTGTACCAGTTATGTTAAACCACTATTTTATAACTCCCATAGTAACCGGACATTCATTTTCCGCATACAAGGTTTTTTTATTTTTTTATAATATAGACATGCATATTAATTAATTTAATATTGGATTTTTAATTGCGTTAATAGAAATTTTAATTCGGTATTGTTTTAGAATCTAAAATTTTGTTTTTCACTGTTGACTGGTCGATGGATTGTTCGGTATGCAGAGTCGAGCGCTTAAGGGGGAAAAGGGATAGCTTCAGAATTTCCAAGTCTCGATAAGTTGAACGTCGATCGATCAGTGGCTACTCATATCGCTTTCAAGTGTCAGAGGTCGAAATACAATGATTTCGAATCAGCATCATCGGTTATTTCATCTCGTTTCTATAAAACGAATTCCATTTCACGTTCCTCCATTCTCGCTGGATTTGGCGCAGTCCTTTCCATGACTAATTGCGCGTCTGCCTTCGCCAAGGACAGCAAGGACTGCCGGCACAAAAGGTCTGGAATTAAGTTTGTGCGTGCGTGTGGGGATGTGTGTGTGTGCAAACTTTGTTCGTTTCCATCAAACTATACCTCACTGGATAGTTGAGTTAAATACAAAAGCAATATCTTCGGTTTTGAAAACATTTGATTGCCATCATCAGAGATGGTGCTTAAACAGAAAATCGAAATTTGAAAATTTGAAACTCAATTTCAATACACTTGTCACTCTTTATAAAGCACTATGCAATATACTGTAATGCCTAAACTAGAAGAACACCAACGTTTCTTTTGATTTTGGAAAAGTCTGTGCGACAGTCTTAACGTGAAACTCCCTCCCCCTCCTCTCCCAATGTGCTTCCTTAAAACGTAATTTCGGTTGGTCTTGATCGATGAAAAGCACGATCTGACCTACCGTGGATTGAAATGATGTGACTTTTTTCACGCCAAATTATTAAGTGCTTGGCTTTAGCTATGGTTCATTGATTTGCAGTATGTCAGTTTGGTAGAATAATCTCAAGATTTTTTTTGAAAAAAACGATCAATAATTACCGAAATATATTGGTTTAATTAGCCTAATTGCTCTGCAACTATCAAGACTCGAAGGGTATGTGCGTTCCATTTAAACGGGCTTTCTTTAATTTAATTTATATTAGATTTTAGTCTTGTGTGTGATGACAGGAAGGTGTGCACACCTGCATTTTGGGAAGGAAAAAATGCGCTCAGGCAAATTACACCCGTTTAGGTATTGTTAGGCCGTATGGTTAGAAGATTGATTGCCTATTACATTTCTGCGCTCTATGATGCAGACGCTTTTTCGTTGACTTCTATTTATTCTGATATCAAACTACTTAGAAGCACATAAAATTTGGCCATGAAAGCAAAAATGATGGAAGATTTTTCTAAAAAAACGTAGTTTATACATTCCGGAAGTAGTAATCGATGTTCTCCAAAGAGAATTAATAATTCGAGCATCTTACGATATAAATCATGAGATAAATTCGAAGGAATCTTTGCTTTTCATATTTATCTTTCGTCCGCCTCTATTAAAAGCGGCATTGAAGGTGGAAAGCAGACAAAACACCGACTGAGTTTTTACGCGAAGCGCGGCAATGATTCCACTTTACTGACACAACATTTCCATATTACAGCCATGGCAAGTTGTAGCAAGACGTGATCGATTAGTCTTGAACCTTTGGTTCTTTCTCTGGCCAATTACATTCTTTCACCTTCGGGAATTAAGGACTAAGATTTGACCTAATTTTCTCGGGGTACGCAGTGGAGTTATCTCCATGTGGTGTACCCTGCCCACTATATTCTCATACGACAAAAGAGTACATTAATCGGAAGTTGACTTCTGACTTCATACTAACATGATCCCACTGTAATGCATGTTCGACCACTTATACAGTACTCACTTTACCTTTTCTCCACCTTTGTGTCTGCCTGTCTCCTTTACACCTTTGAAACACTCTTCTGTTCCCCCCTTCTCGACATTTTTTCACTTCGATGTTCCTTCCCCTCAGTAAAGCCTGAAGTCAACTAAAGGGCTGATGAGAACTATCAAAATCCCTGCCATTTGATATAAATGAATGGCAGTTTAACCACTTACAACTTTCATGCATACTCGGGCTCTTAATTACACCAATAACGACACTCTAGTGAGATGTAGAAAATGGAATTCTCCTATTCTCTATCTCCTCTCCTTAGGATTTGAGGAACTAAGCCATCTCCCATAAATAGTGGTCCGGTTATCCACTACTAGATTTCAAATTTTTTCAAAATCCAAAAGGTTAAAATCGAAAAAAAACAAATACGCTGAAGTAATGAAAAAATTAGATGACGCTCACACGTACCATGCCTGTTGAAGTGGGTCCTCTATCATTATTGGGGAGATGGACTTCCATAGCAAGGCACACACAATTTGCTGCAATTGTACACAAAACCAGATACTCGAAGGGTGTACAAGAGACAGCAAAAAAATATAGTCACGATTTTTGCTGGTTAAGGAAATAACATTTTTTGACCAAGATAATGATTGCAAAAAAATGCACATACCGCGTTGTGCATTTAACTAAATAATAATAATATATGAAGCAAAATTAGGACCAATTTTATTACTTACTAGTGAATTTAATAATGAACTATAATTAAAATACAATAATGCGTTTTTGTTTGCAAAAATACCTTAGAATAAACTTTAATGAACTCGGTTATATTACACAAAGCACGTTTGCTCTTCCTTCTGTTAGCATGAAAACGACTAGTGACAGTCTTAATCACCTTCGAATACCGCGTGGATGGAAAATCGTAGAAGTGCCTCTGTCAGCAATTAGATGTTGAGCTCTGCAAACATAAGGACTCTAATTCCAAAAAAAGAACACCGTTTGCACTAGAAGAGCCAATAGGAAAACTTCAAAAAGCAAGATATTTCAAGGTATTATTAATAAATCACATGATTAAATGTGATTGCATCAAGAACGCGATTTGGGACAATGGAATATGCAGTTTTATGCTTAAATTTTGCGTCACAGTAGCTTAAGAGGATGAAGGAGACGCGTTTATGGCCAATTTCTTTTAAATGTGCGTGTCGGGAGTGAAAGAAATATTTTTACAATCGAAAAATACTCACAACGCACATTGAATGCCACTTGGAGCACTAATATTTGCACAGTACATGTATCCCTAGAGAAGGCCATTAATAATAATAATAATGACGAAGATATAATACCATAATAAAATCAGTAGACGATTTTACGGATAGGTGTTACTGTGAGTAGCCAATTTTAGCCAAAGAAGGATTAATATTCCAAAGGATGTAGGAAATAATACGAGATACCCGGAAGTTAGTATGACTTAAGACTAGTACAGGAAGACGAAAAACTGTAATTCTTTTACTCTTCGTTCATGGAAGCTAATTGTATCGGTTAAGTGAAGAGGGGTGGGGTGGGGGGTGGAGATATATCGACA